TGATCTGGTTAGTAACTAACTACCTTAAATTTTTACCAAAAAAAAAACGTCACTACCTTAAATTTTTACCAAAAAAAAAAACCTCACTACCTTAAGGGTGGTGTTATTGCCACAGCTTCAAAGGTTAATACCACAGCTTTTTTAATTAATTGACCATTAACCCACGCGGAGAAGGTGATGACTGCTGCAAGTTGGATTCAAAATGAGGGGTATAATAGTCAAATAACTAAAAAAAGCTGTGGCATTAACATTAGTGGCTGTGGCAATAACCCCACCCCTACCTTAAATGGGAGCTGTCAATGGTACAGTACCTCAATTTGACAATTTTGTACCACACTTATTGGAACTGGGAAAAATATTTTGATTTTCTGGAGTCTATTAATTATTGTTAGGTTTCGTATTAAAAAGAAACTAAAAACTAAATAGATTATCTATGTGCATTTGACCATTTGGATCAACTGACAGTTTGTTAATTTGATATGTATTTTTTTTTTTTATGGGCGGGTTTCGAACCCGCCCCTTAACAACTTGTTAAAAAAAAAAGAAGATTATTTACATAAGTTATAATAATGTTATAATTATAATATTATAAATTTATAATTATAATTTATTATTAAATTAATTTAATATGTGTGAATGCGAAACATATTAAGAATAAATTTTTAAATAAAAAAATAAATTATATAACAATATATTATGTTATTAGTTTCTGATATTATTTAATATTCTATTTATATCATTTTTACAGAAGTTAATAGCAGATCAAATTAGCCAATCGCATAAAATTAACTGTAGAAGTAGAAGTACTGAATCCTTCATCCAAAATCAAACTCTCTAAATTATTGCTCCTAATTTTATTGAATCATTTGAACCATATATATATTTTTTATAAATTAAATAATGAGTTATAAAAAAAATTATTTAATTCTTTCCTAATTGTTTCAAAGTTTAAATGTGAAATGTTTAACTTAAAATTTTAAATTTTTAACTATTTAAAACACTTCTTAAGACATATATGTGGTCTGAGTGAAATGAACTCGGTTTCCCTTAAGTAAAATTTTTAATTTGAGTCTTGTGAATAGAAAAATAAACGCTAAGTGAGTTTCCCCCATATGAGGTCCAACTTAGCTCAATTTCGGATTAGAGCATGTTTGATGGCTTGTAAGAGCTTCAACTTTTTGATACTAATTATATTTCATAAATTTAAATTTTTCTCATAAAAATTTATATTTTTTAACTTCTTTTTAACCTTAAAAAGATCTTAAACAATAAATTTTAAAAAGTTTTAAATTGTGCTTTTTATAAACTTTCTTTTTACTCACTTTTTTTTTTTTAATTTCTAAAAATAACTTTTAAATTTTTCATTCAATAAAAATTTAAATTTATACTTATAAACAGTACAAAAAAAAAGGAGTAAAAACTCTTACAAATTTCATCAAACATGCTCTTAGTTAGGGTCCAATATGATTTTTGACTACCGAGGGTTAGTAAAAAAAAAAAAAGACAGACATGCCTTCCTCGCAATTAAGTATATATATAAGAAAATACGTTCACCATGGATGTAAGCTCAGAGTTTGTAAGAATTATGATACGGCACGTGTCTGATTCAGAAATATTAAGGAATTAATCTAAGTGAAAGTGAGAGGAACAAAATGCAAGCACTAATTTGATTTTAATACGATTCAACCCTCAGTTGAGCTCCGCCCAGTTTCTACCCGATCATCAGCTGCTGTCTCTCGGCATCATGCATGCAGCATGCCCCACTCGAATAGGTATCTTATTACCATGAACTTTCCAAGGGAATACGCATCATTATAAACTTTTATAAACCAACAGTCTGAAAAATAGTCAAAAGTTTTTAATTTAGTGATAAAATTTGAGATTTCATGATCTATAAAGATTACAGGATTAAAAAATTGTTTGATTTGAGACAAAGAAAAAAAATTAAAAAAGAAGAATGCCTTTTTTTTTTTTTTGGTTTAATTATTTTTGCATTTTAGTATATCTAAAAAAGAAAAATGGAGGAAAATGGAAGGACATCTGTTTTCCTCCCCCTCCTTTTCTCTTTAATTTTTTCAAACCAAACAAGAGGAAGTCCCACTTTGGTTTTAGTTGAATTTATTCACAATTGGAATATGCATGCTTTTATTAAATTATTTTTTAATTTTGAATTCTTGTTATGGTAGAGAAGTAAAATATATAAGAGAAGAAAGTTGATTTCATTGTTAGACGTAATCCCTCTATCTTAAATTATTTGTTACTATAATTAACTTATATGTATCTTTAAGCAATATTCTTATGTAGGGTTAGTGTAATATTAATTATCTTATTAAATTTATTTTAGAGAATTAATTTACAATTTTATTTTTTTATTTAATTTTTTCAAAAACAAACCCTTGTATTGAAAATCTATTAGAAACAAAAAAAGATACTTCTATTGACTGGTTGTTAATTAAAGTGTCTGTGCCACCCAGCTAGGTTCTACATTGTGCAATCAGCTGCGAAAGACAGACATTAATTCTGCGGTTGCTGTTTCACTGTTTCCGCGGCATCAGGACAACCACAAGCCTTGAGACTTGTCTCCGCTCGACCGTTGCGACCCCTAGAGCTCAATATTGCCGCCAATATTTTGATTAATTAGTTTTCTTCTTGAGAAACACAAACTAGTGGACTACATATATATATATATATGGAGAAAGGATTTTTGACTTTTTAAACTAATTTCTGACTTTTTAATTTCTTAATTGAATTCACCTTGGCCAACAAAGAAAACAATGTATGTGACCGCTTTTTTTTCTTTTTCCATTTTCCTCCTATTTAAAATTTTAAATTAATTATTTATTTCTTGTTTTTGGATAATGCTTCATCAATTACTTGTTGCAGCATGGCTAATATATAGGGTCTTTGGTGTAGTAGAGGCTGAAGTTGTGGGTTCGACAAGTTTTGCAAATTGGGATGATGCCTATTGTTAAGGAATTGAAGACCATTAAGGATTCCTTTCCATTTTGGAGGTTCTCTCTCTTATCGCAGCAGATTGGGTAGCCGGAAAGAGCAAGAAGCTGTCATGTAAAGTATTGAATCTTATATCAGGGTGAAAGTGTGCATGTGATTGATATATAAATGTGTGGAGATCAACTATATATCACTAGTAGTATCAATTTAAAATTTTGAATGTTTGTAAATCTTGATTTAAAAAGTTATTAGGTTAGTAAGAGGTCTCAATTTAAGTGATTTCATGTCATGCCCCAGCAGCTTAATCATCCTTCTCTTGGCTTGGTAGGAATTCTGGATAA